TACCTTTCAGGCGACTCACTGGAGAAATTGTAGTGACCGGATTCGAAAATACATGGCAATAATCAATGTAAGGTTTCTATTGGTTTATATTCACCATAAAATGCAGCCCCCCAGTGAGGGGTGAATATTCCAACTATTGCAAAAATTGAAAATTACAGCATAACCTTTCGTGTTAAAGTTTTTTAATGCATGTACCAACAAATTGCATCTCAATAAGAATTTTCAATCCACAGATGGGGATGGGGTGTAGAGGTAATACCCCACCCCATTTCAAAAGCAACAACTTTTATGGGAATAAAACTACTCAAAATACTTGCAGATGATTCATCTGCTTTTCTTACATCAAAACAAATTCCAGTAGATCTATTAATTTACAAGAACAAAGAGTAAAGTCCACTTATAAAAACTACACAAACCTTAACAGCCATTCCATTCTTTGAACGGCCTTCAGCTCAAATTGGGTGACTGCAATGTGGCGGATTTCAGCGAGAAGAGCACATAATTCTTTCTTCAGCTACAAGAAAACACAGATTCAAAATAACGCAACTAAACTCGGATGGGACAATTTCATCTCAAAAAAGGTGATGCTTTTGTACACATCTTTTGCTTTTGTGGCTAGTTGCACCATTTTATTGAGACAGTTAGCATTGTTCTAAAAATAATGTATTACAAATTTGTCCGAAGCAACTGTTGTGTTCAAAAACATTACCTTTCTTCCAACAAAGTTATCCCAGTCTACTTTAAAATTGAAAGTTGTTTGTATTTTGTGAACTTAGATGTGAATGGACAATCCCAGTACAGCCAAATGTGCTTCAATGCTTGTAGAAATGCACATTAAAAGTGTTACACTAACATTATTTGAAGTGTGTAAATCATAACTTTTACACCCTTTTGTGGCAAGGATTTTGACAAGGGATCCACAACTTCATATATGTCAATCAAAAATTATGTTATCATTAGAAATATTTACACTGAAATTCCACGAGTATAAATTCATTAACATTACCTAATATTCGGGAATATTCAACTTTTGAATGTATTCAGAGTCCACAAATTATGTGCAACCCTGGACTTTCGCAGATGACATTTTGATTGAATTTTAATTTGAATTGTTCCATTTATTTTGTACATTATGCTAGAATAATTTAGCATAATTCCAAATTTGTAATTTAAACTGTCCTTCAACATGTGTCTTACCTTATCAATTTCACAATTAACAGTCCTTCGATTGCCTTGGAGTCCATGTCTATGCTGCAGCATGAGTTTAGCCATGGTAAATTCAAAGAGGAACATTTTGACCTCAAACCAGTCGCCATGTATAGGTGGGTGGAGAGCAACTGCAACGTCCAGAAGTCTTTTGCAGATCTCTACCAGGTACCCTGCCTCCTCTGTGAAGAAACAAAGTAAGACAGTGGCATCTGCTAAAAAAACACTGACAGAAAAAGAGCAAAAAGATATTCCGCTCGCTGGAAGTAAATCGGAATAAAGAAGAAAAGCATGACTGCCCCGGTCTGTTCCTCCTGACTCCTGAAAGCTAATTGGTCGCAACGGTGACGTCGGTGTGAAGGTCAGCAAATGAGCGCGCAGTAGGAAGTAGATCGAGTAGTCATGCTTCTCCTCTTTAGGTCTCGATTTGCTTACAGCGCGGAGTACCCTATTTGAACTTACTGAGGGTTGCTGGTATCCTGACTGGATACCTGTTGTCGCCCTGTCCTAACAACTCGGCCCTGGCCTTGACCACCAGGTGGTGAGTCAGGTGCAGAGGTCCTTTCGGCCACACCGCAGAGTCGATGAACCGCTGCCACAAGCGCTGGGCATCTTCCCCGAGAGGATCAGGGTGCAGCGCCATCGACGCCTGAAGCGACGCGAATGACTCCTCCAGCTCACGTACAGCTGGATCAACAGACGGACCGCTCGACTTGCATACCCTGCATTGCCAGCCAAAGGCATCGACTGGGGTGACTAGGCTCTTCAGATCCCTGCCTGTTAAAATGTTTCTCGTTAAAATACACGGACGCACCCGGGCAGCCGGGGATGGGGCGGAAGGGGGGGGGAGGGTCATTTTCGGTTGAAGATAAATTTACGTACTTTTGCAGGTTGTGCAGCACCAGGCGTTGAAGTAAGTCCCCTTTTCCGTAGGATCCTCGCACAACTCGCAGCGGCACACGAAGCCCCTTGAAGCGTTGGTACGCAAGCGCTCGGACAGGGTGGGGAATCGTTGATAGTTGTAGTCAATAGTCACGTGCTCGCCGGCAGCGATGTCCCTCGAGGCGATCAGGAGTAGTTCGTCTGAGTCTGAGTCCTCATCAGGAATAACGCGTGCGTTGGGCACACACGAATGCTCCAGCAGAGATAGACCAGAGTACAAGGCTGATCCGCACTGAATCGGAAAAAATGGGTTACGTTCTCGGGAGGAGTCCTCATGTGAGTACATTCTATGCTGATCGTTGAATAAATCATTCGGGCACACGGGTCAACACTGGTAGCTCATCTCCGTTAAAAAATAAATAAAATAGAAACCATTAAATTAAAACTATGTCATCCTCTTCACAAATTTCCTGCCGGAAAGAATGTAAGTGCGTTTCAAAGCGATAATTTCAGTGCCGAAACATTTAAGTTCGGTTACGAATACAAAGGAAAATATTCGAGTAGGACCCCAGTTTCGGAATCATGATATTACAAACTGGTGAGTGGTAATTAAATAAGTGCTTAGCTAATTAATCAGCATACCATGTGGCTGATTAACCCCACGCACTTCTGTAGTTAGACTGTACCGCACGCACGAGTGCGGGCGGGCTTGCCCATCGCCCCTGTCAACGGCGCCTTACGGGCCGGGCGAGTAGGCAACCCGCCCGCACTCGTGCGTGCGGTACAGTCTAACTACAGAAGTGCGCGGGGTTAATCAGCCACCTGGTACAATGTAATCACTGGCTTCCGTTTACATTCGAATACTTAGCACGAGTTTTACCTTTTCATTCATCAAGACAAAGCCGTTTAAAATAGCAGCCCCGGAGGCTCTTTCCAATCCTTTCAGGGTCTCAGGCCTACTGCACGCCACCATAGTGGATGCCATGGCTGCAGCTGATGAGACCGCCGTCCGAAAGCCTTCGCGGGCAACTTTCAGGTTCGCGGCTTCGACCTGGGGGATATATTTAATATGAATCCTTTAGAAAAAGGTTTTGCCGTTTCAGCCAACTGTTTGTTAGAACAGTAAAACCTCTTGCTATCTCTGCTAAATGTTTTGCTGTGACCATAGAAGAAAAACTAGTTTGCCCCTATAGTCACAGCAAAACGTTTAGCAGAGATAGCAAGAGGTTTTGCTGTTTTAGCAAACAGATTGCTGAAACAGCAAGACCTTTTGCTAAAACAGCAAAAACAAGGACCTGACTTTTGCTGTTTTAGCAAACGGGCTTTTTTGCGTGCCTTCTCTCTTACCGTGCCATATTCAGGTGATGGCGTTGCCATTTCATGCTGCAGATTTAAGAGACGGGGCCCTTGCTCCTGCTCAAACGTCTTCCAAATCCGAACCACACCGAGTACATGCAGGGCCGTGACTAGATGGGAAGCAGAAAAACATATATAAGTAAAGTAAGACAGTATAGTTTCAATGTTAAGGTCCACGGACTTTCCGGAACTTTCTTTTTTTCTCTTGTGAGAGCAACGAATTATTTGTCACGACAGTTCACTGACGACGTTTATAGACTTGCGGTTCCAAAAGACTGCAGGAGCGACGGTAGGCAAGCCCGCCCGCTCCGAGTCCGGTACAGTATCACTAAAAACCTGCAACACTGGTGTGTTTCCTCCTGATACACCCGGTATAGTAAAGCTGGATACGCAGAGTTCCCTAAAAGCGAGCGCGATTCTCACGCTAGGCGTGATTTTCACGCTCCGTAAGCTTCACGCAGCCAATGAGGAACCGACTTCCATCACGCCGACTTCCATCACGCCGGCCGTGAAAATCAAATCACGCCTGGCGTGAGAATCACGCTCGCTTTTAGGGAACTCTGTATCCAGCTTAAAAGAGCATACCACTAAAACATTTTACGGGGGCCTGTTTAGGTTTTAGAGCAGCGCATTCGATGTTGTGGCGATCCAGATAGGGGCAGCTACGTTTGCAAAGAGGCCATCCGCAATGGCTGCATGGGACAGTTTCATTGCACTTCAAACAGCACGCGACGCACAACTGGAATAAACCACAAAACATTACAAAACATATAAGAATGCACAAGAAAAACGGTGACGAACAGTAGAGCGCTTAAGACGGGCCGGGCCACCAGCTCGGCACATC